GCAAGAATGTAAATGAGTGAGTAGGGTGATTATACCGTCATGTAGAGGAATAAACCAATCACAAGATGAAGATTAAACCAATCACCGGGAGAATACAAATGGCAAGAGACAACTGATTTTCTCTCGAGGTTTACGTGCTTGCCAACACGCTAGTCCCCGTTGTGTCGACCAACACTTGGTGGTTCGGCGGCTAAGAGGTGTTTCACAAACCTCGTCCACACGATTGGACACCGCAAGAACCTACCCACAAGTGAGGTAACTCAATGACACGAGCAATTTACTAGAGTTACCTTTTGGCACTCCGCCGGTGAAGGTACAACTCCCCTTACAATCATCGGAGATGGCCACGAACAATCACCAACTCGTGCCAATCCTCCACCGCTGCTCCAACCGTCTAGGTGGTGGCAACCACCAAGAGAAACAAGCGAAATCCACAGTGCAACACGAATGCCAAGTGCCTCTAGATGCAATCACTCAAGCAATGCACTTGGATTCTCTCCCAATCTCACAATGATAATGGATCAATGATGGAGATGAGTGGGAGAGCTTTGGCTAAGCTCACAAGGTTGCTATGTCAATGAAAATGGCCAAGAGAGTGAGCTTGAGCCAGTTATGGGACTTAAATAGAAGCCCCTACGAAATAGAGCCGTTGTACCCCTTCACTGGGCTAAACACGGGCCGACCAGACGCTCCGGTCATATTGACCGGACGCAGGACCCCAGCGTCCGGTCCTCAGATCTTCACCACGTGTCATCGGCTTCAAACGCCGATCGCCCGATCTCAACGGTCAAGAGATGACCGGACACGTCAGTTAGAAAGTGACTGGACGCTGGACCCCAGTGTCCGGCCGTTTCTAGTAAGGTCCCAAAACCGACTTTTGCCAACCGGACGTGTCCGGTCCACCTCGACTGGATACTGCCCAGCGTCCGGTGCAATACCCTAGGTACTGTGCCGACATGTCAGTCCGACCGGACGCAGTCCTTCAGCGTCCGGTCGCTGGGCGACCCAGCGTCCGGTCAGTTGATCGACGCCAGCATCTTTGCGACCAACTCCATTTCACTTCTAACTTCTCCATCCTTGCTCAAATGTGCCAACCACCAAGTGTATCACCTTGTGCACATGTGTTAGCATATTTTCACAAACATTTTTAAGGGTGTTAGCATTCCACTAGATTCTAAATGCATATGCAATGAGTTAGAGCATCTAGTGGTACTTTGATAACCGCATTCCGATACGAGTTTCACTCCTCTTAGTAGTACGGCTATCAATCCTAAATGTGATCACACTCGCTAAGTGTCTCGATCACTAAAACAAAATAGCTCCTACAATTTATACCTTTGCCTTGAGCCTTTTGTTTTTCTCTTTCTTCTTTTCCAAGTTTAAGCATTTGATCATCACCATGCCATCACGGTCGTCATGATCTTCGCCATTGCTTCATCACTTGGAGTAGTGCTACCTATCTCATAATCACTTTGAGAAACTAGGTTAGCACTTAGAGTTTCATCAATTGACCAAAACCAAACTAGAGCTTTCATCATCTTTAAGTAATCGGGATAATCTTTCTTATAATGTCCTGTCTTCTTGCAATAGAGACACTGATCTTTCTCTACTGTAAACTTGTTCTGCTGAGGCTGATGCAGCATGGGACCCTTTTCCTTTGACTTTGAGGAGGAGTTAGCATTATTTTTTTCTTTTTGTCTTTCACATAATTGATAGTGCAACCATTGGCAACTTTCATTCTCTCCTTCTCTTGCACACACATAGCCATGAGTTTCTCTAAGTCTCACTTCTCGGGCTATATGTTGTAGTTGATAACAAAAGTGTCAAATTCTTTTGGCAATGAAGCAAAAATTAGATGGATAAGGAACTCTTTCTTGAGAGCCAGATCCATTGGTTTTAGCTTGGATGCCAAATTGCTCATCCTTAGTATGTGCTCTCTTATGCCACCATTTCCAGAGTACCTCTCTGTCACCAGCTGTTTTATCAGCTGGGTAGCATATGTCTTTGAAGAGCCAGTGAACTGACTCTTTATTCTATTGAGGTACTCGGTGACCGTGTCACACTCTGGGACTGAGCCCACAATTACAGGCTCAATCGTGTTCTTTATCACAACCAAACATTTCTTGTTGGCAGTGACCCACTTCCTATGCTCAAGGTCATAGGACATCGTGACCCACTTCCTATGCTCAAGGTCATAGGACATCTTTTGGGATGCAAAATCTCTCTCTCTAGTTGCCCAAGCGGCATCAGCCTCATTTGTCTCCCTCACCGGTGCCACAGGCTCAGTGGGACACGGTGAGGTGACTACACAGTCCACCTCAGCCAAGATGAAGGCCAGATCAATCTTTTTCTTCCACTCCGTGTAGTTATCACCTTTGAGAGTGGGGATCTCTTTGATACAACCCATCAAGTTGTATCCACCTGAAAACACAATTCATATAGAGTAAGAACATAAATAATAACAATAGTTGCATGCCTTGATTCCAACATTGGTCAAAATAAAAACATACATCTGTTTATACATTAAATCTACATCACCGTTGGGCAGAAATAAAAATAATGCATAAAATCATTAAAATTACGATATTGTTATTAACAACGTTGGTCAGAAAATAACAACATCATAATCATGTCAAAATCTCTTTTTCTCCAATTAAATATCACGTTGGTTCAAAATAACTAGAGAATAAACAATTTCTTTAGCAGCGGAAAACGTATACTCAATTTCTTGAATTTTACCAACAGGGAAAATTTACTTTTTCTATTTTCTTTGAGCTATTTTTTATTTTTTAGAAATAAGCAATTACTAGAAAATAAAAAAGGAAAAACTGATCTTGGGCTGGAACTCGCACAGTGGCCCGGCCAACTCTACACTTTCACTCACACACAGCAGTCTTGGCTGCTGCGACCAGTATGCAACTTTGGGCCTGGGCTTCAAAGCAACCCGGCTGGCTTCGCCCGCACTTTGGCCGAGAGCGGCCCGTTGAAACCTCGCCGTCGGATCTCATCCGACGGTCGAGCACAGGCTTCGCGGGATCAAAACCCGCTCGGCCGCGTCGGCCGAAAACCCTAGCCCCGTTCCCCTTTCTCCTCTGCCTTTCTCTCTCAGCCGCGCGGCGCACCGAGCGAGTGAAGCGGTGGAGCGGGCAGCCATGGCGCCGTCGCCCCACGCCTGCATGTCTGCGCTCCCAGCCAGTGGCCTTGCCGCCGTCCGCGGCTGCTGGCCTTGGCTCCCCCTTGCCGAGCCCGCAGCGAAACAACTCCCGGCTCGGCCTTCTTCTCCCTCCATGGCCGTGAAGGGGACACACGACGACGCACGCAGCGGTAGGCCCCTTTCCTCTTCTTCCCCGTCCCCTTCTTTTGGATTTGGTTTCTACTTCTCTTATCCAAACCGGTGTTGGGGATTAGGGTTTAGATCTAGAGTTAGGGTTCAAAATCCGACCCATTGTTCTTCTTCCCCAGAGGGTCTTCACGGGTTTAGGGTTCGGCTTTGATTCTTTTCTAGGCCGAATCCCTCTTCTTTTGTTCTTTCCTTCACCCGGTTAGGGTTAGGGTTAGGGAACCCCTTCTGTCTGCTCAGATCCGAAAGGATCTAATTCATTCTTTTCTTTTCTAATCGTTTTTAGCCCCTGCCGAGATCTACCCCGAGCAAACCTGACTCCGATACCATTGTTAATACTTGTAGGATCGTCTAGGAGTAGATCCGGGGTGTAAAACATTTACTGGATAAATCAAAGACCTAGAACACGTTCTAGACAGAGAGACAGAGACAGAGAGGATAGAGGAAGAACGTGTCGAACCTGACACCGCAGGGGATGATCCAGAAGCCGCCATCACATTCATCGGTGAAGTTTGCGCACGGGCAGCGACGTTCGGGGAAGAGGTCGATGAAGTCGTCGATGACGGTGGAGCGAGGCGACACGGCTGGTGGCTTCCCGTCACTGATTGCGCCCCTCTCTGATCGGATTAGGGGTTAGGTTTTGGTGGGGAGCTCGGCTTAGGCGAACCTCGTGACTTGAGCCGCCGGCCCCCACCTCTATTTATTGCGCAGTGTGACAGGGGCCCTCCAGCCATAGTGGGCTGGGCGCCCCCGATCAGGGCGCGGATCAAAGGCCCAACTGAGCCGTTGGGCCCAGTTTAGAATTAGAGATCAATCTAACAGATTCCTCTCAGATTTATCTTAAGTTCTTAACCACCGATCAATCACCAACCCAAACCGTAATAATTTGCTGTTACATTAATCTGAAATTCACTTATATTATCACAATCCCTAAATGGAACAAGAGAAGGCATGGGTGCGCGCCAAGAAGCAGTCGCACGCAAGCACCCGGAGGTGGAGGTCGCGACCCTCCAGTATTGCCGTTTTTGCGTTTTCTTCCTAAAAGAATTGTTCTATATGACTAGTGTGATTTACATTGGTGTACAAGAGTATTGGCGTTAATTATTATCCATATAATCAAAAGGCAAAACGCGCGTGCAGATGAGGTCCGTGAAAGCAAAGGGTGAAATCAAAGGTGCGTGGATGTATGATGTATCGCATATTCCATGTGGTAATCTGTACCTCCATCTGGATTGTGGAGAGAGGTGGTCCTCCTGAGTTTTGCCATATCCACATATAACAAAAATCCTCCTGTCAGTTAGTGTCGTTGCCGTATCCACATACCAAAATATCTTGTTAATTGCATACCGATGAGCAGCTTCGTGCGTCTGGAGAATACGCTCTGCATACATCCAACGAGGGTGGAGTGATCGCTGACGCATGCTCGCCGCTACTAGTGCTAGCTGAATTGCTGATTAGCTGAGCTAACCCCGGCCCGTTTGGATCCTTCGGTCCTCCGGTCTGGTCGCAGATGCCGTCTTGCCGATGTGAAGAAAGAGAGAGAGAGAGAGGTGGGGCCCCGGACAAAGGCGACGTTCTCGGGCGAGAGCCAGGCGCGTGCGGCGCGCGCCACATGCGCGCACAGCCTGCGCAACACCCCGTCGGCCGTCCCCATCAACCCATGCGGCTGCGCGGGTGGGGCGGGCGGGCCCCTACAGGCTCGATCGTGCTGTCCCATCCCGGTGAGCGCGCGGAATTCTCCAAACGCCTCCGCCTGTCCGCTCAGATCCACTACCCGCAGGCCGCAGCTTGAATCATGCAAGGATTCGTGGCAATGCGAGTGCTAAGGGCATGTTTAGTTCTAATTTTTTTTTTTACAGTATCCATAGTATCGAATCTTGCGGTATATGTATGGAGTACTAAATGTAGACGAAAAAAAAAACTAATTGCACAGTTGGGTGAGAAATCGCGAGACGAAACTTTCGAACCTAATTAATCCATAATTAGATATTAATTACCAAATACAAACGAAAGTGCTACAGTAACCAAAACTCAAAATTTTTTCATCTAAACGCTAATTTGCTGTACTAACTACAGTATCTAGGGCAAGCTTCTGGCATCCTCATCTCACGTGGTGCAATATATCTGATTGGTGATTGCTGTGCGTGGAAACTGCACCACGTATCCTTTGCAATGAAGAGAGCCATAGAAGCTAGTAGTACCAAAAGAATCGATTGCGATTGCGAAAGCTCATGCATACCTATAGTACTGCAGATCAAATCGACTGGTCATTTGTCTTGGTGGCTGAAAGTACTATTGATTGATTTGTTATAAGAGAAAAATATTATTCATTAGCTAAAAAAATACGGCTTATAAACCAGACCAACAGCGCGGATGACAGTTGCAGCGAGGCGTCTGAGGAAGCCTGATCAACAGTTCGATAAACAGCGGTTTCCATGTTGAAGAACAGCTTAACGCAGCCCGACAGGCAAGCAGAGACAGACGGGTCTAGCCGTCTAGGAAGATTTCACGGCGCCCTTCAAATCCTAACCACGCCGACCAGAGAAGAGCTCTACACGATGCATACGTATAGTGCTGCAGATCAAATCGATGGCAGTTGCTGCGAGGCGTCTGTGGAAGCCTGATCAACAGTTTGAGGAACAGTTTAACGCAGCCCGACAAGCAAGCAGAGACAGACGGGTCTAGCCGTCTAGGAAGATTTCGTCACGGCGCTTGCTTTCAAATCCCAAGCACGCCGGCCGGAGAGGCGGTGCGCTGGACGATGCAGCATGCATGTGTGATTCGCTCGCAGTCGCAGGTTGCAGCTTCAAATCTTGACTCCACTATAGATGATAGACTTTGCGTTGATGCAGGCCTGGATTCTGCAGCTGCTTAACCCTAGCTAGCTAGCTGTGCAGTGTGCGTACAGCACGCAGCACGGTCGGGTCACGGGTGCAGCTCTAGTAGTGTGAGAATATGGCCACGTTTAGACCCCGTTTAGTTCCGAAAATTTTTGGCTTTTAGCTACTGTAGCACTTTTGTTTTTATTTAACAAAAATTATCCAATTATAGACTATTTAGGCTTAAAAGATTCGTCTCACGATTTCTCAGCTAACTGTGTAATTAGTTTTTTTTTCATCTACATTTAGTACTTCATACATGTGCCGCAAGATTTGATGTGACAGGGAATCTTGAAAATTTTTGGTTTTTGGCTTGGAACTAAACGGGGCCTTAGTTGCGCCCGAATTTGGCGGCGGCAAAGTTACTGTGGCCACAGTAACTACTGTAGTATTTCGTTTGTATTCGGTAATAATTGTCTAAACGTTGACTAATTAGGCTCAAAACGTTCGTCTCGTAATGTACAACCAAACTGTGCAATTAGTTTTTGATTTCGTCAACATTTAATACTCCATGTATGTACCATAAATTTAATGTAACGGGGAATATTCTTTTTGCATAGTGCCAAAATTTAGATTCTGGAGGAACTAAACGCGCCCTGTATGCATAGGCTTTGACTCGAGGCATGTTCAAAATCAGAACTCCTGCGGTAGTTATAGTTCGGCCGACTGTAAAGATTAAAGCCGTTTCAAACGCGGAAATCATAAGAATTTCGTGAGCAATGGCTCAACTCCTTCACCAGCAGGAATGTCTGGATTGATACTGTCCAAAAGGAACAGCTAATTTCATTTCCCTTCCACTAACAAGCGATTTTCCCTGTGCGTGTTGGCGAGTCGTTTTATTGCTGATCACTTCAATTGCAGCCCAGGCTTTCGCGTGGGTACCAGTGGGATCCTTGCCTTCGTTGGGCCGGAAGATGCCGACGCCTCCGAGCAGGACGATTGCAGCTTGGGCGTTCGCGTGGGTAGCAGTGGGCTCCTTGCCTTGCTTGGACCGGATGATGCCGACGCATCTGAGCAGGACGTCGCTGCGATTGTCGCGGCACCGGCTACCCCCGTAGATAAATCCGGGCATGTCACCCAGGCCGGGACTGCTACACCCGCCGTCGTCGATACTACTCCCCCCGCTGAACAAGCAGAGCCGTGCGTGGAGGCGGAGCCTGACGAAGCCGCCGTTCAGAAAGAACTTGAGGACATGATCTGCGTCCCCTTGCAGTCCCCCCTCATTCGCAGCAGGCCACGCCTTCGTCGTTCCCGCACACCAATCTCCGTTGGCTCCCTGCGCCGCAGCGGCCGGCTTGCGGCAAAGCCGCGGGCGGCGAACGCCACCAGGCAAGCACAGATTGTGCTACTTAAGAAGATCGGGGTGCATGTGGATACCAGCACACCAGACCTGGAGATCGAGCGGAAGTTCAAGGCCACGTTCCGTGGGGACAACATGTCGGCCAGCAAGCAGCAGGCACTGCAGATCCTTTTTAACAGCGACTTCGACCCAATGGCCATGGGCCTTGACATGGCTGAGTTGGACGTTGTTGAGACGTAGTCTCCGGCGTCCCATGTTTCTACCGTCGCACAGCCGTTTCTTTATGTCGTCTTTGCCCACATGCTTCGTCTGGAACGTGCGCGGACTAAACAGTCGCACACGCCATGGATTGCAATACTCTGCCACTTGCATTATCTGCGATCAAGGAATTGAGACGATGGAACACATCTTGCTTGGCTGTTGCTTCAGCCGAGAAGTTTGGTATCATTGGCTCAGGAAGCTTCATCTTCAAGAAGTTATTGTCGTACAAAAGGAGCCGGTTATGCAGTGGTGGCTGCGTTGCAGAAAACTGGCCCCTAAGGCCGCTCGCCGTGGTTTCGACTCCCTCTTCTTTCTCATCGGATGATTGATTTGGAAGGAGAGAAACGCGGGGACTTTCGGCAGGGATACTACATCGCCGGCAGGGCTGCAGGTGGTCATTCAGGAGGAGATACACGCCTGGTGCTTGGCTGGCTACAAGCACCTAAGGACCCTGATGGCGGCGACTTGATCCCAGAGTAGCTCTTCTTTGTCGCAAAATTCATGATTGTGTAATCACACTTGCGTGCTATGCTTTGCTTGTGTAGCTTCTGGCTTCGGTAACCTTGGATTACCGTGGTAAGGATTGTAACAAAATTCCTTTCTGCTTAATGAAAAACGTGTTTCGGCACTATCGCTAAAAAACTAACAAGCGATTCACAAACTAAACACCCTATATTCCTATATATTGGTTTAATTTAAAGTGGTTCTTTAATTGGTTCATAGTAAGTCATTACTAGCATAATGCATAAAGGAGCAAAACCCAAACTTCGGTTAACTGAATATGTTTCGAAGATATATCATTATTATTCGTGAATTGGAAGTGTGCCATTATTATTTTATAGTATCTCCGAGATATACCACTTAATATGCAATCACTGCCAGGCATTATTGCGATTGTGATAGAGCCGGTTCAGAAGTCTAGGATCTAGAAAATGACGGGAAAGTTAGGGTGTGTTTAGTTGGGGGATCAAAAATTTTAGGTGTCACGTCGAATGTGTAGGAAGGATGTTGGGAGGGATTTTTGGATACTAATAAAAAAACAAATTACAGAACCCATCAGAAAACTGCGAGACGAATCTAATGATACTAATTTTCATGGACTAATTAGGCTTAAAAGATTCGTCTCGCGATTTTTGCCGAGAACTGTGCAATTAGTTTTTTTCGTATACATTTAGTACTCCATGCATGTGTCTAAACATGCTCTTTTACTATAGAAGGCAAAAAAAATTTGGAAACTAAACATGGCCTTATTAGCAGGAAAACACATATCACTGCTGGGTCAAGCCACAAATCGGTAGTGATAAGTATGATATCACTACCGGCTCTAGCTACACCCCACAGTGATTATGTCGGTTAATGGCGGATCGTCCTGTTCGTTTGGGCTTGTTTGGTTAATAAGCCATGGCTGAAAGTACCGTTGGCTGATTTGGTGCGAGAGAAAAATACTATTTATTGGCTGAAAAAGTACGGCTTATAAGTCAAACAAGTCCAAGCGAACTGGGTTGATCTTTGCCAGGTTATTTATTGATCCACCTAACTGCTAATTGATTGATTCTCCATCGTTGAATTCACCCATCACCATTCGGTCTTTGGTCGTAAACGATCATAAATTTCCAGCCAGAACAGTATTTTTCTTTCACACCAAACCAGCCAGCAGTAATAATCCACGATTGTATACGATCGTTTCAGCCCCAGCCAAACAGGCTGATTGCTTCTGGTTATAAAACATATGTTCGGATGCCTCCATGGACAGATGAGGTCACTTGTCGGGCGCTTGTAATCCAACACAGATCCAATATGTAATGCTAGCTAGCTCATTGCTTCACCAATTGCAGTCTCAATATGTGTCATCTCAAGTGAGAAAAAGCCCTCAACATACACCTTCCATTCTAGTCAAAATGGTGCACGAGAGGTGCTATAAGAACGTTCACGAAGACGGAGCCACACCGAAGTCAAGGCACACTAGCACCAATATAATGTTAGGGTGCCTCAGTTGACTATTAGTCAACGTTGAGCCAGCGGCATTGGCTCCTTACTGCTCACGGGCCTAGTGGCTTCTCCATCCCCTGTGACATGCTCTTGCATATTTTAAGAAACACTCGGTGCTAGAAAAACATTCGTGAGGTGGTGATACTATAATGTGTTTGTAGACTTTGATTTTAAGATTTGGTCTAGTTGAAAAAAGGTTGTACCTCTTATCCTAAAAGGACTTTGTTATCGGATATGTAATTCTATTTTAAGTCTTTTTTATCCTATGTTTTATCTATCCTAAATCTTTCTGAATTCACGTGCAATAGACATCATATATATTATTGTCCAAGAGTTTCTGAATCATTTAGAATAATTCACTATTTTTAAAGTTTAAATTAATATTTGCATGTCCATGGAAATAAACTCAAAATTGAATTACGTGTACCTCCATTAAGATTAAAAAAATACAAGAAAAATATGCTTGGCATATACAGCTATTCTATCATTTGTCGTAGAGATAAATGAAAATTCAATTGTTTTACAACGATAATTTGATGTTATATCTCTATATTTTCACTGACTAATTTATAATAATAACTAAAAGTGATCCAAAAAATCTAAATTTTTTAATGGAAGCATAACTTTTGTGTATATGGCCACCTTTAAATTTCCAAATGGTTTTAATATAGGTGACATCGCTCAGAAACCCAAGTAATTAAGACGTGTCACAAACCCAAGTATATAATATGCAACCGAGAAAAATGTGTTCAAAAAAATTATAACAATTTTCTGAGTGTTTTTTGAAAAATTCTAACATACCTTTATACTTTTTCACAAGATTAATGAGCATTTTTCGCCCATTCGTTGAGCATTTTTTTATCATTGTCGGGCCATAATCCTAGCATCCAGACAATGACTGAGATCCTATTTACCCGGAAGTGAAGATTTCACTGCCAGGTCAAACTATGAACCGACATGACCAATGTTATCCTAAACGCTAAACGGTAAACAGTCGGTCACCTACCGTTTAGCCCATTATTCGAGCAAAACGGGTGTTTAAACGGGAAAAACGGCCGTTTAAACGGTCAAAACAACTGATTAAACGGAAACGGTGTACCACCATGTAGCATTTAAACAGTGTGTAAACGGGCTAAACGGCTGTTTAGGCAAACAGTGACAGTGACATAACACTACCGGTTAGAACCAACAACCGACAGTGACATATTGATTACCACTCTCGGTAGATAAAATGAACCGGCAGTGATGTGACGACATCATTGCTTGGTTTTTGCTTGACATGGCAGTGTTATAGCTACAGTATAAGACTCCAAGCTCCTTACTCCTCCCGTCTAGCCTGGCCACACCCATCCAAGGAGGCGTCTTTCCCCACCTCCCTTTCCATTGTTGTCGCCATTTTTTCTCCAAATTTCTCATGGGAGACTTGGGTTTTATTGGATTGAGATGATCTCCTTGCTTTAACGTGGGTAACTAGCTAGCAATCGTTTCAATTTGTAGCTGGTTTTGTTGGTTATATTGTCTTTGATTCTCATGCTTGTTCTTTATCAAATTTAGAGCGCATTTTTCATGAAGGCATCTGACTTTTGATGAATCCATTTGCTACTGGTAATTTAAGGTTAGTACCTATGTGTACCCATTTAATGTGTAGCTAGCTAGTTTGCTTCATTAGATTGCTTTTGATTCTTGTGATGGCTTACCCCTTCGATGTCTTTATCCTAATTTTTGGACTAAATTGCCCCTGTCTCTTTCCTTCCTCTCCCCCCTCCCCTCTCTCTCATGCTCAACCTTCAAGACACACCGGCTATGGCCACGAACGCCCTAGCTGCGGTGGCCGGGAGCAATGGGCAGTGCGCGATCGGCGCCAACGCGGTGGTGGCCAAGTGAGCACAGGGCGGGCGCGCCACTTCGAGCCAGTGCGTGTGGGCTAGCAAGAAGGGTGGTGTTTCCATGGTGGCGGACCGGTGAACATCATGAGGCGCATGGCCAGCGAGCAGGTTGGCGCGGGCGTGGCCTTGGGGGAATTTTTTTTTATTTTTAACATCTTTTTAAACTAATTTTAAATCTAACACTGTTTAAATTTTTTTTTTCCAAAACTAACACTCTTGGCCGCGCCTATTTTCCTGGCGCGGCGAAACGCCTGTGCCGCGCCATGCATGGTGGCGTGGCGAGAGGGTTGACATGGCGACGACCGGGGCACTGACCGGTGACGTGGCAGGGTCTGCCGTGCCACCGATCTTGGCGCGGCTCTACCGCGTCCTGATCGGTGGCGCGGCAGAGACGGATAAAGTTAGTTGACCGTGGCAGAGTAGGAATGCAAATCAAAGCTGCTGAGTAGTTGCACATCGCGTCCTCATGTTGGCTCCTGCTCTCTCTCTCTCTCTCTCTCCCTCTCTCTCTCTCTCACTCCCTCTGAGGATGGCTCCAGCTCTCTATAAATACATTGAATTCAAAAAAAATAAAGCCAACTCAACTCAGGTAAAAAAATAAAGCCAACTAGTCAAGCTACCAGCTCAACTTTTGGCGTGTGCGTGCTGCTGCAGCAGCATAGCTAGGCTACCCGCTCAACTTTTGGCCCGTGCATGCTGCAGCAGCAGTGCAGCATGCACGCGCCAAAAGTTGAGCAGGTAGCTTGGCTAGTTGGCTTTATTTTTTTACCTGAGTTGGATTGGCTTTATTTTTTTTTAATTTAATGTATTTAATGAGAGCTGGAGCCATCCTCAGATAGAGAGAGAGAGCAGGAGCCAACATGAGGACGCGATGTGCAGCAACACAGCAGCTTTGATTTGCATTCCTACTCTGCCACGGTCAACTAACTTTATTCGGCTAGCGCGGCAAACCCTGCCACGTCACCGGTCAGCGCCCCGGTCGTCGCCACGTCAACCCTCTTGCCGCGCCACCATGCATGACGCGGCACAGGCGTTTCGCAGCGTCAGGGAAATAGGCGCGGCCAAAAGTGTTAGTTTTAAAGAAAAAAATGAAACAGTGTTAGATTTAAAATTAGTTTACAAAAAGTGTTAAAAAATCCCTTAGGGCTGGTGAGCACGAGTAGTTGCTTTGCTCACCCTGGCCATGCCCAGGCGACGGCGAGCTTGTACAAAACAAGAGAGGAGGAGGAGGACGAGGGCAATTTGATCTGAAAATTATGATAAATGCATGAAAGAGGTAAGTAGTGGTATAAGATTTGTGAAAGTGTAATCGTGTGCTTTCAATATCTTAATAGTAATGGCATATCTATGAAAAGTGATATTTATAATAGCATGTATCAATTAACCTTCAAACTTAAAACTAGCATAATGATGCATAACGATGCACACCTTATAGAGTTATATAGTTCACGGGTCGCTTGATGACAAACAATGGAGGAGACGGAGTATAAATTCAGCAAGCATTGAAGCGACAGATGCGAACAAGAAGCTATTCCCGCTATTTTAAATTAAAAGTCCTTCTGGGTTTTATAGATACATACCCCCTACATATATTAGTTCGGGTTTGTATATAAATAGAGTTTTTATTACTATGTATCTAGATATACGTTATGTTTAGATACATACTAAAAGCTATATATACTATTGTCTAAAATAGTACTTACAATTTGGAACAGATTAGGTAGTTTTTATTATGTATCTAGATATATTTTATACTTAGATGGCATAGTAAAAACGACCCCGCAACACACACAGACCACACCCTCTTGCTTCATTAGCTGGACTGCTGGAGGTTCATTGGCAGATTCGTGTGGCGGTAGGAGGCCTATTTGGATTATCCCCTCAGTTTGCCATACCGTAGATGCAGGCCTGTTTGTATTGTCCCCTCGATTTGTCTAACCATAGCTGCGGCAACCAAAATATGGCGAACGTTTTGTTCGCCTTTACAGCGAGCTTAGGAAGCCATCCAAAGTCCAAACACAGAGCTAAGCTTTTGTGGTAGGCTGTGGCTAGTTGTGGAAGCAATACAAACAGACCCTACATCTTCGCATATTCATTCAGCAATCGCAGTAAACATACCACCAGTGATAGCGGCTAGCAGCTTCTTTGCCCCGTTCGGCTTGCTGAAATTTGACTAAATTGGCGGAAAAATACTGTTCTGGCTGAATTGTGGTGAGAGAAAAACACTGTTTCGGCTGAAAAAACAAGCTAAATAGTACCGTTTTTAAGATAAGCCGAACGTTGTCTTATTTTACTACCTTCGTCCACACAGTTCTAATTTGATCAAAGGCGATCTGACTAGTTTTGTCCTGTTCGCTTGGCTGATAAGTCATGACTGAAAGTACTGTTGACTGATTTATTGAGAAAGAAAAATAATGTTTGTTGACTGAAAAAGTATGGCTTATAAGCCAAATGAACAGGACGTTTGATTAAATTTGCAGAAAATAGTATCACAATTTAAGTCACTATAGATATAATATAAAATTACATTCCATAACAAACCTAGTAATATTTGCTTATTATTGTTTATAGGTACATAGATTTAATCAAACTTAAAATAGTTTGACGAGCACTACTTTGGAATGGTATTCTTTTATAAAAGGGGAGAGCAGTCCACAGTATCACAAACATATATAGAATTGGTTCCAATCAGTACAGCTTGAAAATTATATATCACCAATGATTCCTTGGCACAGACCAGACGCAACCTTGCTCGTCCAGACACGCTTCCACAACCCTTAGATGCTTTTGCTTAGACCACCCCTCACATTGCGAAAAGCCACTGCGGTCACAAATTTCGACAGACATTTTTCTACAATATCACACAACAGAGACACTGTATTTTTTGTTCCACTTTCTTCTCAAACAAGGACTTTTTTTTTTTGCCTCTCGTCTGGGTACAGCTATAGCATCTATTCGTATACACATACGCTCACTCAACACACCGAGTTCTTTTTTTAGATCACCGATCACCCGCTCACTCAACACACGCACACTACACACACCCGTGCACTCTGAAGACCGCGTTCTTTTTTTAGATCACCGATCACCAAAATCCTCTGATTTCGAAGACGACGGGCACGTCACGATCCCACTGTGCCATCACGCGTAAAAGACAAACGCTTGGAACCAGTCCAAATGGAGACTGTTATTATTTGGGGGCATGCCCCGGTGAGACACCAAAGTTGCGATCCCAGCGATCGAACTCGGGCGGGCAGCTCTCACACCGGAGAAGCTAGCCACTGAGCTACGCGCTCGTTCTCTTCTCAAACAAGGACTACATTCAAACAAGGCAATGTTTTTATTTACAGACTGCTTTTGTTTCCCTTTCTTCTCAACAACTGCATATCCCTGAGAAAATGCTGCTACCCAAACAAGGCTATCCGACTCATCTATAAATCACAAGAGGGAAGGGAAATACACTGACCACAAACTTACAGTAGATAACTAGATTACTGGACCGAAATGACAAAATGCTCATCAGCCACCTTTCCATGCTTTTGGTTAGACATGATATACTTGTATTTCCCCATACATTGTACCTTTTCTGAAGTGCAAACCTCAATTAGCTTAAAGTTGTGATCGAGACTAAATGCACAGCATGACAGAACCCACATGTACAAATTTGTAATGTTAAGCTGAGTTAGTTAGGTTTAAACATCATATACAGGCATGCGCTCTTCAATTGGCACACGGCAGATTGGACACTTCTTGCATTTCTCAGCACAAGACCTAATACAGAAATACATTGGAATCAATGTCTCCCTCAAGTATTGCCTAGCTAACTAGGAAGGCCATATACCTATATGAAAAGAACAAGAGACAAAAACATACTTGCATAAAGTTCTGTGCCGGCAGGGAAGTAGCACCATGCATATCTCTCCCTCATAGCAAATCCTACAAAGAACCTTCTCCTATAAAACGAGAAAAAGATGACTGTCAACAGAAATGATGATGAATTTAACAAGCTACTATCTATGACCCATATAAAAGGTAATAACTATCAGTAAGCAATGGCAGTAACTCATTCCGTAACAAAGTCAACAGTTTAATTCCCAAAGTATTATCATTAGAATCAAGGTTACACTGCCTAAGGTCCTTATCGTTGACAGCTTGGACCTAAATGATTCCTTTTGTGTAAGGGCATATGGAGTGAATATGCTTCAGATGGAAAAATAAGAATGCAGTCACAGCAAGGGGCAATACATTTTGAAGTCTTTCATATTCCTGTTTGGTACACTTGGTAATTTCAGATTGTTCTCCCAACGCTGCCTGTAGCCTCCAAACCTGAAAGTAGGCAAGTGGGAAGTTAATGTTTGTGATGATGTGAACTGAAACAAATGTATTGAGATAATAATTCTGGAACAAAAATCATGTAACCTCTTCTGCAAGGTCCTTTTTAGGCATTTTCCTAACCACCTCTGGTGGATAGCCACAAAATGTATTGTATCTTCAACCAAAGAGTAAATAATCAGCATAGTATGTAAGCATGCAGCAAAACAAGACTAGCAACGGATTGAGAAAATTAACAGAATTTTAAATGAACAGTAACATACCCAGTAGATTCAGTATAAAACAACCGGGCCTGTTCTTCCTTGCTCCCTTCATCAATAGACCACCAACCAAGAAGCCTGCACAACACATGGACAAAAGAAGCTGCATAGTTAAAAGCCTGCATTAGCGCAAAATGCTACTCTATGGTTCAAGCAGGGCAAAAACACATGCAAGAAAAACAGATACAAAATTTAGCTCATCAAATATTAGATAGTACCTTGAACCATGATGAAGAAAAGCAAAGCAATCGCGAACTTTTGATGAGGCTGTAAAGTAATTAGGACTAACTGGCCCATTACGCAGTAGCAGAACAACCTTCTCCACTAATCTTGCAAGAGAGAAAAGGACACCAGCACCTTGCAGAATAAATAGTGGCGAGAAAAGAGCAAATATTGGGATGTAGCGAGCGCTTGCTGGTGTGCCCTGAAACAAAATAATACATGTAATGAGAGTTTGAAGCTCATTATTGATCAGTTAACAGAGAACAGCCAGTGACACTTATCAGCTAGTTGCTAGCTGTTTCCAGGCTTGGGACAGTTTGCCACAGAAACTAATTAAACTTGGTCAAAATTTATGACTTGTTTTCAGCTTTTCCAGCAGTTTGAATAAAACTGTATATCACAATGATTGTCGAATTGTTTTTTGATCTATTCAAATAATGTCATTAGATGGTTCTTACAAGAAGAAACAAAAAGTTTCTTGCAATTCCATCTCTACAATTGGAAAAAGTCCATATTACTCCCTCCAAGTTTGGCCTATGTCCAAATAACCCCCCAAACTAACATTTGGTTCAATTTACTCCCTCCAACTATTTAAGTTGGTCCAACTAACACCTTAAAGAGATTTTTCTTTTTTTGTTTCTCTATGTACAAATTATATTTTAGTTTCAAATTTTGTGAGGTGATAGAGGACATTGTATTTTATATTAAAAAAATGCACTATGAATTTTTCATCATTATGTTTTATATGATATTGTACCTCCAGTGTTAATTTATTATTAAATTTCCTAAGCTATCAAAATAGTGGCAAAAGGTTAAGATATATTTTTCTAACATAACTTATGATGTTCTCTATCATATCACAAAAGTTGATATTAAGACTCAACTAATACGTGGAAAAACAAAAATAACAAACCATGTTAAGGGGTAAACTAGACCAACTGAAATAGTTGGAGTAAATTGAACCAAATGTAAGTTTAGGGGGTAATCTGGACATATGCCAAACTTGAGGGGAGTAATTTGGACTTTTTCTCTACAATTCATCAAACCAATGTTCCCTGTGTGCCACAAGACTGGGATGGAACATACCTCCAACCGCATACAAAGCAATACTTGGAAAGCCACAAGAGGTATTTTCATTATATGGCCCCCAATATCAGGGAGACCACAAAGCCTCTCTTGTTCGTGATCTTCTAGTGATGGGAGGACAAGACCACTTTCCCAATCACGGTATCTAATTGCCGCTGATGATGAGCTAGCCTCCCCATGAGTGGGAGACTTATGAATCATGGGATTAAACCATCTTGTACAGACAAGAAATGCAAAGCATTCCGCAATCCTGGAGAAGCAAGGTGCCGAATTAGACTAACTGAAATCTCATAACAAGGAATAATGCCACTGCAACAAGTCTCACCCATAATTTATAAACAAATCCCACCATCCCAAAGCACCAACATCACCTGCCATGTGCAACAATGCGTTATTACAAAAGCATTGCACAATAAAAGTAAAAGGGACCTGAGAGAGAGAGAGAGAGAGAGAGAGAGAGAGAGACTTCGACATTGTGAAACTTAAAACAGTTACTAGTTCAACTGATTTCACAAGCACTAAAAGAAAAGTCCCTTCTATTTTCAAATACTATAATAAAGAAGAAACAAGTTGTAATAAACAGTCGTTCTAGTCAAGAAGAAATAATGCGACAAATTCTAAGGATTGAAATTAAGGAACCCTAGTGAGATCAGTTTTGTAAGTAACGATTGGAAGGCAACCAAGGAAACTTACCAGACAGCTTGAGAAGGGTGAATGTTGTAGCAGCTATAAGAAACACCATTGAAATTGCAACCCAAAAATGCTGGTTACAAAAAGGTTAAACATAATAAGATAAATGTTTAATATTCTATTCTAGACAGCTAAAAATGAATCATTCTGGAATCTGGATCGTCCCAGCTACTAGTAAGATCTAATACAAAAGATCAAAAATGAATCATTATTGATTAAGCATTCGTATGAAATGCAAAAAAGAAAACCGTAACTGGCAAAGAAATTATCAAAGAGGAATACAAACATGTCTGGAAAAAATACAAGCCGCTCCTAGCAAAAGCTTGTTCTTTCAATTAGACAAAACTCAATATGTTATAACAATGAATTTATATATCTGTTCATTGTATCAGCTTGGCAGCTTGCAATAGTTGCATTCTGAACTAGCTCAACACAGCTTACATCATTGTATCAGTTTGCAATAGTGCATCGGAACACAGCTTACACTGGCCAAATACTTAAATGATACTTTAGCAAAGTGATGCAGGACATCTGAACAGAGAGTCCGATATTCTTGTTTTATCCTAATAATCTTTCCAATTATGTCAATATATAGCATCATATATTAGTCCTCTGTATTCAGCTGTGCAGTTGATTTGTGGCATATGAAATGCCCCATTCCATTACCAGAGTCAAATGAATGCCAATATATTGCGCGACTCCAATTTTCCTAGTTAAGTGATACTCATAATCTAAAGTTCATTTTGTTTTACTGAACAATGGGCTGCAATTCAAATCAACGGAGAAATTGTGCCAAAAGCAGTCAGATAGACTAGTATGAGAGACTTACAGGAAGTGTCTCCCAAATAGCTTCATCACTCATGCTTTCTTCATCTCCAGGCATTAAAGCTCTACACATTCTGAACAAAAAAAAAACCCAAGAAACGCATACACGTCAATGTCCATAGTGACTATAATACAGTAACCCTCCAAGAGTAACAAAAAATAGTTTATTTTTCTTTGGACAATGAGGTTCACAATTTGGACAGAAAAGGATAAATAGGATTCAAAAAGTGCAAGGAAGTGTGAAGTTATACCACAATATTATGGCACAAGCAGAACAGTTTAACATACAGAAGGATCTTATGAATTGATTATTTTGTAATGCTGTCAAAAGAACAATGGAAGACAAGCCATCAATGTAGATTATGTGTCATAAGTTTTCCAAGCCTTACACATGTAGTTTTGCAGGCAATGGGAAGTGATAAAGGCTTACGCAGTAGAAGCAAGGGATAGCTTAAAGATTTGCTTGGCGATAAAAATACAATTTTATACATTAGACTGGTGAGGATATACATAAATGCTTCCACAGAAATACAAGTTATGATATAATCTTTTTAAAGATAGTTTTTACCCAGCATAGAGAATTTGGAGCCTTATAATTGGTTCCAGAAGAAAACTCAAGCTAAAACACCATGATGGAGGAACAATAAAAATAGACAATTCACTTTTTTATACCATGCTACACTGCCTGTAAACTTGCATTGGTATATGAGGAATTTGACCATTTATTACCAAGATAGTTTTAAGGCCAACATACATCTTTCTTTCTTAGACACAATGTGGCAAATGAACAAGCTAGCACAGCAAGCAACTGTTGGAACTATGGATGTTGAAAGACAACACATTTAGCTGCTTCTATAGGTCCATTAGATATTTAAAAGACCAGGCAGGTCAATTGTGTACAGCGATTACAAGAATAGGCAAAGTAAAATACTCCCTCCATTCCAAATTATAACATGTTTTAGCTTTTCTAGATACGTAGCTTTTGCTATGTACTTGGATATACACTATGTCTAGATACACACTAAAGACAATATATCTAGAAAAGCCAAAACGTCTTATAATTTAGGATGGAGGGAGTACGTAACAAGATATATCATAACAGTTGAAATCATACAAAATTGAACTAAAATTTAAAAACTATTTCAACAAAAAGTGTGGCAGAAAATGTAAGAAGCCAAACTGTTCAGACAATAGTAACTCCTGGTTATGTGCAATGCATTCTCATCGTCAGGAAAAAAAGAACTTACAGTGACGCAATCTAACAATCCACAGGAAAGAAAATGTAATAGCTCAAATTGGTTACCTAAAATTGTCAATAAGGACAATTGCTTCAAAGGCCAACAGAGGAAGGAACACAATCTTCAGATCAACAGATGGATGATTTCTAACTGGGCAAACACAAAGGAAAAGAAGTGTGAAGATTACAAAGCTAACAGAACAGAGAAACTTAACATGCGTCTCAGATTAAACAATACTAGGAATCTCAATATGGTGGCCATTGGGCAGGTTTTGTTTACCCAAGGGATTCTGACCCTACCTCTTATGCTTTCAAGATATATGCAAAGAAGCAACTCGAACGCAATTAGTAAAGGCGCTGCAACAATCGAATGACAGGGTGCCCACTGCAAGCAAAAAGAAACATATCAGGCTAATTGGATGCAAAATGAACAATGGTAATGCAAACAGTGAGAAGGTCAGTTTTAATAGACGAGCCAGTACGTAAATCTCACATGACGGCCATGAGGCAATGAAGGGGCAGGCATTGAAAACCTTCCACGTGCAACAATACCATGAAAGAGCCATAGTGGAACGAATATTATCCTACATGACCAAAGTAGCATCATTAGCAACTCATATTGGCTTCACCATTGTCGATTTATAGTAGTTGTCATAGAGTAATCTATAATTCGATATTACCTAATTCTAGCTAGAAGATTTTATCGTATCCTTTGGCATATCAGAACAGTGCCTAAAGGAACAGATTTGGCATGAAATCTACTGTCTATCCTAGTACAATACCGAATGAGGAAATGCTTGCCAGCATCAGCTCGATTATAACTGGGGGTCAGTGATAAGCATCAATTGAATACTACCAACAACTCTCGAGATTCATCTGAGCCCCAGACAGGCAGCTGAATTACACGCCAGCGGAGCAGATTAATCCAGCACCAGCTACCAGCAGCCAACCCTGAATCGCACGCAACACGTAGAAAAGCGAGCGTAGGAATCGGCCAATCCCAAAACTACATCTGCAACGCAGGGGAGACGCTCTCCGCCCCAAATCACAACGCAACCCAACAACTCGAAGCCCCTTCCATCTCGCTGAAACAAAACCAATTAGATCGAATCGAAGCTGAGGGGGGAGGGGGAGGGGGAGGGACGAGAGCCGACGGGTGGGAGGGGACGGGGAGGCGGAGGCGGAGGCGAGGCTAGGGTTTAGAGAGCGTACCACCAGGAGTACGTGGTGCGTCCGTCGACCCTGAGCGCGAGGAAGAGAGTGAAGCAGAAGAGCGCGGAGTGCGCCGCCGCCGCCTGCGCCGTCTTCCCCACCCCCGCCCACGTGTGGGCCCGCCGCCGCTGCATCTCTCCTGGCTCCTGCTCCCTAGGCCCCCCGACGGGAAAGCCAGCCAAATCTTCCCCTTCTCCGCCGACTCCGCCGCTTCCTTGGACTCGACGCTCGACGCTCGGCGATGGGTCGGAGGGGACTCGGAGGAATGGGGGATAAAAGTAAAGGAAAAGGGTACAAGGGTTTCTCTCTCTAGTGTATTGATGGAGTCATGAAGTATGATAAGAAGGACGATTCCATTCTGCGCTCTCTCTCTCTCTCTCTCTCTCTCTCTCTCTCTGCGTTTTTCCGTAATGGAGTAGTACTATATAATCTAGCAGTAATCTATTGCCGAGCCGCTGTTCATGGAGATTGGATGGATTGGATTGGGTTGGGTCAGAGGAGGGAGAGGGGACCGAGGGGGAAGGGAACGGCGCGCGCCTGGTGTTTGGAGAAGCCGACGAGCTGAATTTTTTTTTCCTCCTCCGTTTCTGAATCCGTCTGTTAAGCTTTCCCAATAATGGGTTAAGCTTTTTGTTACTGCGACTTGGTGGCTCCGCCCGCGGGCCGCCCGTCCGGGCCCCGTTTTGGCGTCGCTTGCACGGCACACCCTCCCGCCACATTCGTCCGCCCGCCCCGCGCGGCCCACCGTCATCCGCTGCGCACGCCCTACACTGGATTCGCCGAGACGGGTCGGTCGCGGTCGCGGAGAAATATGCAAATATATGCAAAAATAATAATAAGTACGTTATGCAAATAATAAGTACGTCATTCGTAAGCGCGTATTTCGCTGGTCGCTATCGTGCCGGTGTAGGCAGAGCCGCACAAGAGAGAGCTAATTGATGGTTGGTGGCCTGGTGGGTTCAGCTTGGGCACATCCTGGGACGACGGCTACCGGCCTTTGGACATCATCGCAGGGCGATTAGCAGTAGTACGTACTACTGTCTAGTCTACCGTGTCTGATGTCTCCCTTTCAATTTCCATTTATGGATCGGAGAGGTGCGAGTGCAAGATCCGGAACAGTGTGGTTTCGAAGAATTTCAGGAAGCTTGATCCTGATGCATGTCATCCTTGAAAAATATGCTCTCTAGTCTCTTGCACCACATAGTGCTACGAGAGCATGTTGATTATGTCATCGCCTCGTCACGGATTTGATAGGGCCTATTTGGTTTTTGCAACAAAAAATTACCGTATTTGATTAAGGTCAGAGGTTGACTAATCTGGATAGTTGTTTGGTTCCAGCAACATGTGGCGACATTTATTTCCAGCAAGCTAGGATCTCACACCATAACACGCTAATGATACTCATAAAGGATCCATAGTAATTAATATATATAATAATTAGTTAAAATATTCCAATTGACGTCTAAACATGCTATAATATGAGATGGGTTATAATAATCAAAACATCATATTACAAAAATACTATAATCCATTTTGAACCTGCTTTTTGGTGACTGAGAGTATTTTTCACTTGAAACAAGACCTTGGCGCTGCGGCTATAATAAAAAAGTCATATTACAAAAAATCCTATAATCCTCCGCAATAATCCACGTACAGACTTACTCTGCGGGCTACGTCGGAGATCTAGTGAGCAGAAGATGTCGTCACTGGTTCGTGCATGGACGCTGTCCATATACGTCCTGTTCGTTTTGGCTTGTTTGGCTGATAAGTCATGGCTGAAAGTACTATTGGCTGATTTGGTGTGAGAGAAAAATATTGTTCATTTACTGAAAAAATACGATTTATAAGCCAAACAAACCCAAACGAACATGACGATAGTGGGCTCGTTAAATTTGGTGCTATAAAGCAATGTAGCCGGCTGAAAAAAGCACCGTAGTGGCTGATTACTCTCATCCAGATTCCTTCAAGCGAACGGGACCAGTATCTGGTTTGCTGACAACTTGCAGCTTTTTAGTTCCCCTGATTTTATGAAATGCAGATATTTTATGAATGAGAAGCATCTATCCAATCCTACCAGGAAGTTATTATAGATTGAGAAAGTGATGTCAAGCCCTCATAGCCAGTGGCGGATCCACGGGGGGGGCTGCCGGGGCTACAGCCCCCCCCCAGTGAACCTAATCTCTTCATAAATCACTATTACATAGTGGCAAATCACCATTAATCTTTAGTGTTAGCCTTAGATCTTCATTGTTTAGCCCCCCCTTAATCACCATCCTAGATCCGCCACTGCTCATAGCAGGCTTATCTGCTAAAGCTTCCGTAGGTTGCTTAACTACATGATACACTTGGTTAGTGATATGTTTAGCAGCCCGGCATCAGTTATCCAGATTTGATAAACCATTCGTTTGCTCATATTTTAAATATATTTTATTTAAAAGTAAATTACTCTGATGGTGGTACGGTCCTAGTTATGGTGTCTGCCCATTTTTTTGAGTGACAGATTTGGCTATAGTGCCCGTCCGTATCATTGGAGGGGCCGTCAACCTCGTTTCATGCTGGGCTTAAAAAGAAAATATGTCGTCTCATGATTCCTTTTCAGTTTTGAACATAACTATAAAGAGGCTACCTGGGCCTAGCCCATTAGAAGCGTGAAGCCTTTTGTCAAGGGCTCAAGGCTCAAATCAGGCCTCCACCCAAACCTCTCGGCCTAGGATGGTATTCATCTACGTTCTCTGAGAACTCGACCCAGCCCAGCCCGCTAAATCTAACGGGCTAGACATACTAGGCGGATATTAGGCCCATCTATGTCTTGATACCCCCATTCCTCGTTTACCTAGCTCTCTAGAATAGTCGAATCTATGGTCGACGTATGGCAATATTTCCTGCTGCAATTGTGTAGGTTCAGTGATCTATTACGTCAGAGCATCTAAAAAATATCCAATATTTTCTTCCTAAAAACATAAACTCTTGCAACTCCTAAAAAAGTATTGAAATGAATAAAGAAGGCCATCTCCGAGTTTCTAATAATCCACTCCTAAAATATAGAGACAAATTTATATCAAGAATCCTATTATCGGATTCATAAACTCGGGGTCCCTCATGGACCAGCTTCCCAGCAAAGGCTCGGCCCAGCAGACGACGTTGCGAACAACGCGCAAACTCCTGGGCCGGCCCAAATACCAAGCGACAGGCCAAAGGACGAGCCAATCTCCGACCAGAAGGTCTGGACAAGAAGGAACGACGCCCGCTTCTGACTTCGGCTCGCCTGTCCGACCGGAGGCATGGCTCGCTTCTGACTCCGACCGCCTCTCCTACCGGAAGGCCTGGCCAAACGCCGCCTCCTCCCTCCGACTCCGACCCGCCTCTCCGACCGAAAGATACACCGAACTCCTAGTTACAGCTCTTCTCCGACCGGCATACTCAGAGCCAACTGGGACCAACCGACTGAGAACGCCCGCTCGGTATGGACCCAGAAAACGAGCAGAGCAAGTAAGGCAGGACGCTCAAGACGAACCGCCATACCAAAGACCGTACCCTGCACGACCGTAGGACAGTACCGACAAGACATGTCAGAAGGGTGCCCTGCAACTTTCTAGACATGTCAGAACCTAAACAGTGTTGTGGGCGTCGAAGTTCTACCCTACAGTGTTGTGGGCGCTACCAATTCTCATACCAGACAAACACGGTAAGGCCCCCCACATGCATCTGGGCATCCACAATGTTGTGGGCGCCGACATTTACCATACCTGGTAGGACACGGAAAAACCTCCCACATGTGTCTGACATCAATAGTATTGTGGGCGCCTATAATCATCTTGTACCCGACGGCGTGGGCAACAAGACTTAGCAGCATACGCACTCTTTCTTTCTCTTGTAAGGCCATCCCCTTCATCTATAAAAGGGGATGCGCTTCCTCCAAAAGGACGATCAACTCTCAAATGATTCAACACACAACAGTAGAACCACCAGGATTGAACACTCAGCGCACGTGAGAGCTCCCGTCACTCTTGGTCCTTCATCCCCGAGTCTGACCAGACCTCTTGCGACCCCCGTCTTACTCCCTTCCGTTTGTAACCCCACTGCAAACTTCGAGCACCTGGACTCAGAAATAAAATCCCCAACCGACTCAAACTGGACGTAGGGCACGTTGTCTGAACCAGTATAAACCCTGTGTCATTGAGTGCTAGGCCACATCCGATCACAACGTATGGCAAAACTATAAATATTTACGTGTTGGTCACTTTCTGCACCGACACCTATACTATTTCTAAATTATCCTAACAATTTTATATATTCTTTCTCTCTTGTACATTTATATCAAGAACCATTTTCTACTTTTTATTCTTTCACTGCCTTTTCACCTTTAGATTGGCCGACAAACACACACGGGAGAGAGAAGATACGCGCTACTGGGAAGCGCGTAACTTTACGCGGAATAGGGTGTCGGTGTTTCGACTTACTACCGACGAGTAAATTTCTAGTATTGTGCGTCTGGCTCGGATGGTGTGCTTAGAGGACACGAGGTTTATACTAGTTCGGGCAGAAAGTCTCTACATCTAGTTCGTCGCTGCTGCTCGTGTTACTAGCACTAAAAGTTTGTGGTAGAGGTTACAAATGGGCGAGAGAGGAAAAGGATCCCAAGTCTCTGGTGAAAGGAGTGAGTGGGTGTTGAGAGCTCGATCGCTGCTCGACTATGCATTCGTGTTGTGCTCTTATGCGAGAGAGGGAAAGGATCTGGTGGAAGGAGTGAACGGGTGCTGAGAGCTCGATCGCTGCTCAGCCGTGTGTTCGTGTCATGTTCTTGTGTGTTGATCTCGTGTTCTGATCTCGTGCGGATCTAGATCGATCGGGTCTCGATGGGTCGATCCCCTAAATGGGGCGCCTTACTTTCCCTTTTATAGGCCAAGGGAAAGCGTGGGTTACAGCGGAGGAAAAGGAGAAGAATGAGAGAGAGAGAGAGAAGAAGGCAACCAGGACCGCAGGGTCCTTCTTCTCCTTCATGCGGGTCCCGCTGATCTTGTAGACGTCAACAGGGATGGCTCCACATTGTGGCCCTATTCATCACTGACGCCATGCACAGGCATCGTCTACCGGTCATGGCGTCCCATTCCGCCCTACGCGGGCATCGTGGTGA